GAGTGTATAACTTTAAAGCCACCAAAAAAAATCACCAACAAAAGGGATGCAGCAATAAAATCATAATTAAGCTCCAGCTGAGGGTAACCACAGCGAAGGAGAGAGCAGATAATCATCTCTCCCAAATCCAGGAACATTGCCACAGGTTGTAACCTCAGGCCAACCTCATAAAAGTCTTTAAGACCAATTTCTTCCTCCCATGGAATATCACATGGAGGCAGTTTTGGGATGGGTGAAATCCATATAGTAAACAAACACATATAAAAAAGGAATTGGAGGAAAATAAAGTGATTGGTAGAGAACTGACACAGAGTATCTGTAGTGTTTTCCTACCGTCTCCAAGGGTTTTTAGCACCTCCAGCAAATTTCCTGCACCTCGAGGGGAATTACAGTGCAATAAAATGTTAAAGCATCGCAGCTTTGAGTGGCTACACAGTAAGTTCTTCACCAAACAGAAAAGTTCTGGCACTTCCAAATGACACCATTGCACCACAGCTCAGCTGCAGCCCCTGGACCTGCCACATGCAGGATCCACAGAATCCCAGAATCCCAGGCTGGTTTGGGTGGGAAGGGACCTTAAAGACGACCCTGTGGGCAGGGACAACTTCCACTAGCCCAGGTTGCTCCAAGCCCTGTCCAACCTGACCCAGGACACTTCCAGCTCCTCTGGCCAAGCTCTCTGTTCCCCTCGTTATCCCTGTGGGATGGAGGGGTTAACACCTCACAGCTAATCAGGGAGAGCAGCCACTGCTCCAGTCCTGCTGAGGCAACAGACCTGGAATTCTGGCTCTTCCCTCTAGCCCAGGCAGCACATTTGAGAGCAGCAAGAGGCAGGTGTGCAGTGCAGGAGCACGGACCAAATTCCCTCACCTGGGATCTCTGGAGCCTCTTTTTTTTTTTGAGCACATTAATGTCGAGGTCTGATCTCTCAGTGCCACCAAGAAAACAACATCCAGCACAGAGGGACATTCTCATTCAAACCTGTAGTGATCCCACCCCACATAACTGGGTGACAGGATGTGTGTCCTGGATGTCAGAGGGGACACTGGATTAGCCAAGGGAACCACATTAATTTTGCCCAGAGTTGGCTTTCAAAGCTGGGGAACATCACACTCCAGGAGAGAGAAACTCAGGGCATGATCTCCCCGCGGTGTTTCTTAGGACACGATCTTCTTTTTTTGGTTATTAAAAATATATCCTAGTTCCAATCCCCCTCCCCCGGAGGCAGCTCCACAGCCTCGCGGAGCGGGAAGCGGGAGGGAAACACTTGGATGTACCCAGAGCACCCTCTGCCGTCAGCGCCTCCCGGCAGCGACCCCAGTTGTCAGGGGAACCTCAGGGAGCACGATCAGCCACGGAAAACTCACCCTCCCTGGCAATGAGGTCGGCGTCGATCACGGCACAGCCCAGCTCCCGCAGCACGGCCACCACCGTGCTCTTCCCCGACGCAATCCCACCCGAGAGTCCCACCAGGAACATCGTGCTCTGAAAGGGGGAAAAAAGGAGCTGGAAAACGTGCCAGGACAGGGCTCTCTTGTTTGTGCTGGGCACAGCAAATATTTAGCCCAAAACAGGTGGCTTCATTCGCAGCTCGTTCTCTCTGGGTGTTACTGAGACATCGGCAGGATTTTGGCACCCTCTGGGCTGGGAATTCCTGTTTCACAGGCTGCAGGATAGTGCTGGGTTAAACGAGGCTTCCCTGGACCCCCCTAACTCTGGATGTGCCACTTGAGCCAGCCCTCAGTTCCTCCAGATGGTTTATCTGCAGCTGCAGCAACTCATACCCCTATAGCACCTGCACCCACCAAACCACAGTCTCACCTACAGCACCATAAACCATGGAATCATGGAATGGTTTGGGTTGGAAGGGACATTAAAGTCCATCCATTCCCACCCCCTGCCATGGGCAGGGACACCTTCCACTAGCCCAGGTTGCTCCAAGACCCATCCAAGCCAGCCTTGGACACGTCCAGGGATGGGGCAGCCACAGCTTCTCTGGAAAATCCATTCCAGCCCCTCCCCACCCTCACAGGGATAATTCCTTCCCAGTATCCCATCTAACCCTGCCCTCTGGCAGTGGGAAGCCATTCCCCCTTCTCCTGTCCCTCCATTCCTTGTCCCAAGTCCCTCTCCAGCTCTCCTGGAGCCCCTTTAGGCCCTGCAAGGGGCTCTCAGGTCTCCCTGGATCCTTCTCTTCTCCAGGTGAACCCCCCCAGCTCTCCCAGCCTGGCTCCAGAGCAGAGGGGTTCCAGCCCTTGGAGCATCTCCATGGCCTCCCCTGGACCTGCTCAGAGAAATCAGAGGAAATTTCTGATAGGGTTGGTGAGGGTGACAGTCACAGGGTCAGTGACAAAGAGGAAGAATTCAGACAACATCTCAATGTGGGAGAACACAAGCACTGGGAGGGAGAGCCCTGCTCGATCCTGCAGCCGGGTAGGGGAGATCAGCCACCTCTGACATAATGGGGACACAGAGCCCACAAGGCACTCAGTGCATCCCAGTCCCACACTGCCTGGCAGCCCAAGGGGCACAGAAACCACGGCTCTGAGCAGCAAACTGGTGTTTGTGAGCTGGCAAACACAGCCTTGGACACAGATCCTGTGCCTGCCCACGGCCCCGAGGCTGGGGGGGGCCAGTGACCCCCCAGCTCCTCTCACAGCTCCTGCACTGAGATCCCTGCTCAAGCCAGACCTTGCAATCCTCTAAATCCAAAAGGCTCTGTAATGCTGAGGCAGCTCTGGAGGGCTGAGGGGACTCCTGGGAGTATCTGCATCCCAAAAAGGCAACAGCCACAGGAGGCTGGGAATGAACCCCGTGTCCCCTCTCCAGCCCCAGCCCAGGGTGTCCAGGGCTTTGTGCAGCTGAGTCCTGCAAACCCCCAGGGACAGAGGCCCCAGCTCTGCTGTCACCTTGTGATACCACCCTCACAGCCAAGGGGCTGAACCTCCTAAACCCCATTTTTCTGCCTGTTGTCTCTGAGAAGGAACTGGCCCCGTGATCTTTGGCCAGGAGCCACAGGCTGCTGATGGTCACCCCTTGCCCAGACCCAGCTCCCAGAGAGCCCTGTACCCCAAACCCAACAATCTCAGCCACCACTGCTCTGCCCAACCAGTTTCTGGTCTCTCCCCTCCCTCCAGACACCCCCAGCCCCCCAAAAAACTCAGCACACACAGGACCCAGGTACCTACTGCCTGCACTGTCCCCCACGAACAGGGGGCTGCAGGAGGGCTGAGATGGGCCAAAACAAAGCACTGTGTCCTCTGGGCTGGAAAACACACACAAAAAAGACACTTTAGTCATAATTAGCTCCTACAAACAGGACTCAAAAACAGAGTTTAGGGGGAGACAGGGGCGGGTGAGTCCTGTAGCAGCTGGAGGCAGCTCAGCAGAGGGAAGAGGCAGAGTTGGAGTAAAAGCCAGGAGCTGATGCCAGCCCACAGCAGCACCATGTGCTCCTTCCCCTTCCCAGACCAACAGATGGGGAGAACTCCAGCAGCAACAAGGGGGAATAATCCAAAAGGACTCAGAAAGGGCACTTCTGATAAACAGCAGCGCTTTGGGGTGGCTGACAAACACCCCAAGCAGGACCTGATGCCCCGGGGAGCCTTTTCTGGTGTTACTGTGGGCTCAGTGTGACAGAGGGGCTGTTTGTTTATCCCAGCAGGTTAAAATATTGCTCTCCCACCAGGATTTCATACACCTGCTGCAGGAGGAGCCTCACAGCAGCTGCACAGGGAAGATCCACATCGCAGGGGTGGAGGCTCCACATGCCTGTTTTTTTGAAAAATACACTCAAAACTCTGCTGCCCATGTAGAGTAAACACAGGGCTTTAACTGCAGCAACATCAGTGTTCTGGCCTCCAGCCTCAGCTGGGACTTGCTCCCAAAAAACCTTCTATTTCTGTCCCTCCGTCGCAGGAATTACTGCAGGGGGAAGCAGCCCTTGGAAGGGTTGTCCTGGAATCCAGGGCCAGCCAGGGCTTGGAACACTCGTGCTGTCCAAGGCTCAAGAGCTGGGGCACAGAGCTCAGCACACGGAACGAGGCATCAATATTTAACGAGCCCGGGTGTGAAGTGCACACGAGGGGAGAGAGGCCAGCCCGCTGCTGCAGCTGCTACGGGCAGGAGCCAGAACCAGTTTTCCCAAAAATACATTTTTTGGCTATATTCGGCCTGTGCCAACTAAATCAGAGATGGGGAAAGACAAAACACGAGGCACGGAGGCTGTTTGGGCTGTAAAGCCGGGAGAGCTGCTCCAGCAGCGAGGAACGGGGAGAAGCACCCAGGGCACCGACGAAGCGGGTTTTAAACACTGAGGTGCCCCAAATTCCCCTGTGTCTCATCTCCTCTGGTTGCTGAGCGCAGCACAAGCTGCCAGCCCCAATCCACCCATCACAGCGACTGGGGACGGACCTGCAATGTCCTCCCACACCACCCTACACCCCGGCTCTCCCCCTGCGCCCGTCCCCGGCTCTGGCACAGCGACAGACCCGGCGTTTGGCTCAAGGAAGAGGAGGTTAAAAGGAAAAATCATTAAATATATGGCTAATTAGGGGGAAAGAGCCGCCACCCCCGCCCTGATCCACCCGCACCGTGGGACCCTCTCAGCGCCCTCACCCGCTCACTCCCTGCCCGGCTTCACGCGCCCCGCAGTATCCCGCGCACCTATTGGCTGGCAGGAGGCGGGGCGCCTCTCCCAGCCAATCGGCACCGCCCTCCTTGGGCTGGGCCCACCCCCTCCAGCGGGAAGCGGGCGGAGACGCGGACACGCGGCCTCGGTGTGGGACAGGTGGCCGAAGGGGCCGGGGCGCGGCTCTCCGCCACGGCGGGGCTGCCCCGGTCCGAGGGAGCCCTCCCGCTCCGGGACATCCCCAGAGGCTCACGGGAATTGTAGTCCTGACCGCGGCGCAGCCCGGCCCCCGCAAGCCCGCGCAGACTACCGCTCCCGGCATGCCCCGCGGCGCGGCGCCCAATCGCGGCGCGCCTTGTTGCGGGGGCGCGGCCGGCGCCCAGGGTCCCGTTTCAAGATGGCGGACGACAGTGAGACAGCAGTGAGGCGGCCGCCGGCGCGGCTCCCGCGACCGGCGGCGGAGGAGAACGACCACGAGCACTGCAGCGACTGCGAGAACGAGGCGGAGCACGGCTCCAACCGCGGGTGAGCGGCGCTCGAGGCCGCGCGGCGCGGCGGCCGCCGGGGCCCATTGAAGGGAGGGCAGCGGCCGGGAAGTGAGCGGCGCCCCGCCCCCCCAGCGCGCTGATTGGTCGGCGGGCAGAGTGCCGCGCTGCGGTTGGTCGAGCCGGCTGTCGGTCAGGCGGGGGGCGGGGCGCTGCGGGAGCGTGTCCGAAGCTCGGCAGGGTCGGGCGCGGCCGCGGCGCGGGGGGGTGACCATTGACCCCAGTGCCTTTTCCTGCCAGAAATGAGCCCATTTACTGTGTCTCCTCGTCCTGGCCTTAGGCTGTGTCTCCCCACATCCCCTCTGCCCTCCCAGCCCGTTCCTGGCATCCTCGTGCCCGCGGTGACACCCAGGATGGTGATCCCGCTTCCCTGGAGCGTGTGGCATCCCCTGCGTCCTGGAAGAATCCCAGGACTTCTGCACGCCCATCCCGTCGTTATCCTACACACACAGAGCCCGGGGTTTTGCAAGGCTGTGCCTGCATTGTCTTGTGGTTGGAGGTGTGGAATGGTGGAATAACAGCAATGAGGATGGGAGTGAGCACAGGCAGCGAGGCAGGTCCTTATCTCGATAGGGTAGAGCTGGAATGCCAAAAGTGGCATCGTCGTTACGTACTCATTGCCTTAATTAACACAGTGCAGAGCTCACTGTGTGTCCAGGATTTGCAGGAGAGGCTTGGTGCACATTCCAGCTGGGAATGGGTGTGTCAGCCTGTGGCTTTCCAGAGGTTTCCAGAGGTTTTGTACCTGGTGCTTCCCTCACCTGAGCCTCGCCACTCACCTGGAGCCCCAGCAGGTGTGCAGACCATCAGCCTGAAGAGCCCTTCCCCCTCCATGAGCAGCTTTCCATGGGCAATCCCGCCTGCCCAGCAACGGGAGCGAATAAAAGGTCACCCAAGAAATATCACAGAGCCTTTTTTTATGACAGCACAGCTGCCCATTTATATTTCCTTTGCCCCCCGGGCGTGGCTCCGTGTCTCGGTTTAATCACTTTAGCCGCGCTCGGGGAGGTTTTTATTTTCTTTCCCTCTGACATGATTAGGTTTGTGGGAGCCAGAGCCGAGCAGAGCACAGACAAGGTGCTTAATCACAGCCACTTCCCAACCCAGAGGTTCCTCCTGCCCTTTTTGCCAGGAAAAGGTGTGTTCTGGAGCCCTCCTCTGATCCTGGTGTGTGATTCCTGTCACCTGGAGGAGCTGGAATGTTTTTGGCTGCAGATGCCACAGGCCGAGTGGGAGATGTCCATTAGAAAATAGTTTGGATTGCTTGGGAAATAACATTAAAAGTGTGGCTGGTGGGCACAGTGATGAGGAGCACAAGGCAGGGGGGCTTTGGAGCTCTCTGGGAAATCTCCTGCCCCCCAAAACCTCATGGGGATCCACCCCGGAGAGACCAAGCAGCGGGAAAGGGGGTGGATTTCCTTCTGGATGTTGATTCCATACCGTCACATCCCACTGGGGTGTGGGAGTGTTTCGGGTCACCCCAGTGACACTGGCCCCAAAAACAGGGCAGGGGACGGGCCTGGAGCTGCTGGGCTGTGCAGAGCCACCCTGGGAGTGCTGTCAGTGCCAGTCTGTGCACTGGATCCAGGCACTGAGCTTTAAAACATGAACGTATTCCTTAGTGAAAGCAGCACTTCCTTTCCTTTTAAGGACAGGAAAGAGGAATTAGGTTTCCTCAGCCTCAGTCCCGTGTCAGCAGAGGGAAGTGGCTGCACTGCTCTCTGCTGTGGTCATCCAAGTTGATTTTCCAATGAAAACACTCTCACTTTGGTGTTTGTCATGTGTTCCTTTGTGTGGAGAGTGTGTCCTTCTGCTGTGTCCCTGGTGTTTGTGGAGGGTTCATTCCCTGACTCTGGAAATGGGCTCAGGCTGCTGGGGTTTGTCACCTCACAGGCAGCCAGGGCAGCGGTGACACCAAGGATTGGAGTGTCCCAGCCCCAGACAGGAAGAGCTTGGGAATTCCCTGAAGCCCAGCTGGGTTGTTGCTGGATGGGGTGTGAGGGGGGAAAAGGAGCTTTTCCAGAGGAGCAGCTGCCAGTTTGGCAATCCCTGCCAGCACTTCATCACAAAAGGATGTTCCTGGGACATCCACATGTGGAATTCAGCTGTAGGTGTTGTGTGGGGCACAGTGACTGAGCTCTGCCATCTGGAGATCCTCCTCCCTCCCCGGCCCCTAACGAGATTACAGCCTAAGCACTGCTCCTGATTAGCCCCGGGTTTGGCACACAGATTTTCCAGCACCTAAATAGGGAGCTGGGATCAACTCTTTCTCATCTGACACCTTCCAGCCTCTCACCAGACTGAGGGAGCCGAGTTGTCCCGCCTTGTGCTTCCTCCCTCACCTTGCAAAACCAAAGCCCTCAGATTTGGGAATACAGCAGGATCACCCACGGATCCGGGGGATAGAGAGGTAGATGCCGAGTACCAGTTTGTTACTGGCTATGTGTGGTGTTTTCCAGCCTCCAGAGGCTGGAAGCAGTCAGTTTGAGCAGGTCTCACCCTGGACAAGCCCAGTTGGTGTATTTAAGTGCTTCCAAAACCTAATTTTCGAGATCACTCAGGTTATGGGTGTTGTTTTCTGGGCAGTGGTTTGTGCCTTTCCCTCCAACTCAAGGAGCCGTCTGGTAATGGGAAAGGAGGGAATGGAGTGCCAGGCAATGGCCATGATGATGGTGATGCCTTTCCCAGGAGAAGGGAAGAGTGTTTTCCTTAGCCAGAAAAGAGACGATCGTGATCCCACAGGGAATTGGAAGATGTTTCGCCAACGTGCCCTTCTCCACCTGCTTCGTGTCTCAAAGCACTTTGGAATGGAAGGAGGATCTGGGAGGAAAAAAGGGAGGAAAAGAGCGCTGAGTACAGCTGGGAAGGCTGGAAGGCTGTTGGATGAGAGCTGGGCTGGCAGCTCCCCCTTCCTGGGGGTGAAGCTGCTTCAGCCCCCTCGGCTCCATGGGTCGGGTTGGCTGCAGTAGCTGGGGTTTTGGATGGTGGTGGCTTGTCCTAGGACACTCATGGGCCATCATCCTGAATTTCAGTGTCTGAGGGGCTGCAGCTGCCCTGGATAAAGAAGATATTTGCTTCCTAACTAGATTTAAAATAGAAAATACCTATAGTTGTTGCTTCTGAGTGAGTTGGTCCTTTGGGTTTTCCAGCATTTTCCTACGTGGTGGTGGCTCCTCCTCTGGGTTGGTTTTCATCTCCTTGATGGAGCAGGATCCTTCCCCAGGCAAATGCAAAACCTCATCCCACCTTCTGCCACCCTGATTTCTTCCAGGGCACGCCAGCTTTGCTCATAAATCAGGGAGGGTTTTACCTGTGAGCCTGGCTTGGTTGGACTGAAGTCATTAGCACCACGCTGGGACTTGGCAGCTCTGATTTATGGAGCCCAGCGACGCCCACGGAATACGAGGGGAGCATTTTGTTTGTCTCATCTGCCACCTGCAGCATCCCAGTGTGGGGGTGAGCTGGGAAAACGTGTCTGTCTCCTCTGCAAGGGGCGGCTTCCGGCCCTTGGATGCGCTCAAGAATTCCCCTCGTGCTGTTAAAATTGGTCGGAAATGCTTTGGATGCGTTTGTTGCCGCTCCAGGGTGGTTTGGCTCAGCCCGGGAGCCCGGAGTGGCCGGGATGTGCCGGGTCCCGCCCCTGCTCCTCCCCAGGGAGTTAGAAAAGCCGTCACACATTTGTCATGGAAATCAATAGCGGTGTCAGCGCCGCTGTGTTGGGATTAGCGCTGCTGTCATGTCCGAGCCGCGGCTCCTGCGTGGAGGCAAAGCCCTCTCCTGGCAGCGGGAAGGAAGGTAAGATTCCCCCCAGGGATGGTTCAGCAGCGCCGCGGGATGCTGGTCCTTGGAGCTGCTGCTCCTCTCTCTGCTCTGCTGCAAACAAACACTTCAGATGCTTCTGGAGAAGAGGGGAGGCTTCTCTTCCCTCCCCATTGTGGAGCAGCTCACCCTGAGCCACTGCTTGTTCCCCGTGCCAGTAATGCTTCCTGTCTCCCGGTGTCCCACACAGGGCTCTGCTGATCCATTTTCGGATCCTTTTCCTTTGGTTCCTGTTGGTTCCCTTTCCCCAGCACGTGCTGCTGTTCAGGTTTTTGTCCATGGAAAAGCTTCCCCAGCCCAGCAGCTCCGTGTCCTGCAAACCAGGACAGTGCAGCCCATCACGTCAGGTTTCTGTGCTGCATCCACAGGCACCTCCTCACCCAGCCCTCCCATCTTCATCCCTCAAAAACCACATTTCTCCATCCACTTTTCCCTGGTTTTATAACCCACTGCTCAGCTGAGGGATTTCATAGAATGGTTTGGTTGGAAGAGACCTTGAAGATCATGTGGTTCCAACCCACTGCCACCTTCCACTTGTGTTTTTTTAAGCTTTCTTCCCCTCCCAGCTCCTCCTTGTTCTGTCCTCGCTGAAATAAATAGTTGGATGCTGCTCCAACACATTTGCCAGCATGTTTCTTCTTTCTTTTTCCTGCTCCACCTTCCTCACCACTGTCTTGTGTTTGGTAAAGACATGAAGCTGCTGCAGGAGTGTGTGTTGCTCGGGGGGGTTCCAGGCTGGGCAGGTCAGAGCTGTGGGGTTGTCCCTGCTGTGAAAGCAGCAGTTGTTTTGGGCTGCAAGGAACGAGACACCTCTTGTAGAGTAAACATGGCAGAGCCACTCCAGGGTTGAATTTCCCCCTGGGCCCTGACCCTCTCAGAGGCTGTGACCTTGTTTTGGGGACCACTGAGGCTCCTGCCAGGCTTGGGGTGCCCCAGCTCTGCAGCACTAACATCACCTGTGCTGTGTCAGGTCCTGCAGGACCATGAGATCACCATGGGGCAGGCACCTCTCCTGTGCTTTGGTCCTGGATTTGCCATCAACAAGGCCGGGCTCAGCGTGGGGCTTCACCCCTGTGGCTGTTTTGGGGTGATCATCGTCAGGATATCCAGGGCTGTCCTGCATCCCTGGAAGAAGGAGCAATGCCCTGGTGTGTTTCCCACCCTGCAGTCCCAGAAATTTGCTGCTCAGTCTCTCTTTCTCAGCTCCAGCATAACAATATAATCATTTTCCAATAACAGCATCCCTAGAGCATCACCCCTGCAAGGGAGGTGACACTCAGCACAGTGTCCTTGGCCACCAGCCCTTCTGTGGTGCCTGGACCTGCTGCAAGGCCTTGTCCCCAGGGCTGGATCAGCGTTTGCTGCTCCCACATCCATCCTTGGGCTCAGGGAGGAGGAAAAAGCCAAAGCTGGACATCCCACCACTCCACAGGGTGGATTGGGGCACATGTGGCCACACAGGGGAATGTGACAGCAGAGGTATGGTCACCTGTGGTGCAAAGCAAACCTGCAGGGTGGGAAGTGCTAGCTCTGATCCCTTTTTGGGAGCTCACAGGGAATTCTGTGCTGCGAAGTGGGTGCTTGGCTGCACCCTCTGTGCACGGAGTGTTCCCCTCCCTGGAGACTGGCACTCAGCAGGGAGCCTGTATTTTCTTTGGAGAGCTTCAGAAGCCCAGTAAATGTCCTCCCCCAAGGCTGCAATGATGTTTCTTTTGTTCCCCAGGGGCCTGAGTCCAGCAAATGACAGCGGAGCCAAAAAGAAGAAAAAGAAACCCAAACGGAAGAAAGAGAAAGGAGGAGGAGACCAGCCCGACCAGGCTCAGGACCAGCCAGTGAAGGTGAGCCCCCCCTTCATGGAATAAGAGCCCCACACACCAGCCAGCCCCATCCTGAACCTCTCCAGTGCAGCTCAGGGCAAGGAAGGACTTTGGGGCTGGTTTTGGGCACTTGGCTGCTCTGTAAACTTCAGCTGTGGAGTGATTTCCCAGCCTGGCTCCGTGTGTGGGAATTGCTGTTGTGCAGGAGGTGTTTGCAGAGTGCTCCAGGGATAATGCAGCCTTTGGCTGGGTGTCCCAGCCACTTCCAGGGTCACACTGGCGCCTCTGAGCTGCTCTTTCCAGACACCAGCTGCCTGTCACAGGCAGGAACTGCCAGGCTGCCACCTGCCAGCTCCCTGTCCTGCCTGTCCTGTCTGCAGCAGCACAGGGGTGACACCTGATGGTGTTGATTTTTGGCTTGATTATCACCAGAACAGCAGCCAGGGAGAGCAGGGGCTGTCTTATCCCTCTGGGCTTTGCCTGATCCTCTCCAGCAGCTGGTGATTTGGGAAAGGGTGTGGGACATGCAGGGTTTGTCCCTGCCAGGGTGGCACCCTCCCGTCCCCTCTGGTCCTATGGCAGGGGACACATCAACAGAGACTGTTTTCTGCCTGGTGCCCAGTTCCCATCCAAACATTTGGAATATTTTTTCCATCTGAGTGTGCAGAGCTTTAAACTGGGGCTTTGCGTTTTTCCAGCTGAGTTCCCCAGGGATCGGGGAGGAGCTGGGGCTGGGAATTCACTGCAGAGCCACCCACCCTGAGGAAGAGGAGGAGGGAAGTGTCTTTCATCTCGACTGAACTTTTCTGCCTTGTCCCAGGGACTCCTCTGGAAGCTGCAGTTTGTGGATACAGATCCAGCTTAGATGGAGGAGGCTGAACAATGAGAGGGAAAAGCCCCTGCAGGAATCCCCAGCGCTGGCTGTGGGTTGATCCAGGGGGGCCCTGCAGGGTGTGAGGAAGGGAGGTTTGCTCCTGGGGCTCACAGCACCCTCTTAACTGAACCTTAAAGCATTTTTAGGCAGTTCATGCATCCCCTTTGTCCCAGGAGTGCCTAAAAAGGAGGTCTGGGTGTGTGGCAGGTGGCTGGTGGAAGGGTTCATCCATCCTGTAAAGGATTGAGGCTGGGAAGAGGGTCTCGTGCCTGCTCTCCCCTTCCTGGCAGTGCCCCGAGGCAGGGTCAGCTCCAGGATCCCCTGAGGAGGAGCCAAAATACAGAGCTGGTGGCTCAGCTTACTCATTTCACCTTCCCACCCTCCTTTCTTGCCCTCAGGTGAACTCCTTACCCGCTGAGAGGATCCAGGAGATTCAAAAAGCCATCGAGCTCTTCTCTGTAGGTCAGGGCCCTGCCAAAACCATGGAGGAGGCCAGCAAGAGGAGCTACCAGTTCTGGGACACACAGCCAGTGCCCAAGCTTGGTATGTGCAGCCCCCTCACTGTCCTGTGGGCCCTGGGGGAAGCCTTATGGTCCCCAGGCTGCTCCAAGAAGCCCTCAGAGAAACCTGGAAAAGCTGGTCTGTGGCCACCAAGTGAGTCCCTGGCTGGCCTGGGCTTCAGAGGCATCACAGCCACTTCTGCACCATTGAGCACAGAGGGACGAGAACCACTTCAGACATCTGATTTGATGCCTTCTGCATTTGGACATCCCTTAATCCCAGTCCTTGACTTGGGTCTCCCCAGCCCTCTGTGCCCAGTTTTCATGCATGGTGTTGCCACATCCTGGACTATGCAGCTCTCCCCTTTTTGGGGGTTGGAGTTTCCCAGCCAGGGGCCCTTGGGGGAAGGTAACTTGGGGTGAGTTGGGGCCAGACAGTGATGGGAGCTGCTCCAGGAGGCAGGTCCATGTGCTGAGTCCCAGCCCACAGTTTCCAGGTTTACCTGAAGCTTGTCATGGCTTTAAATTGGCTGCTCTTCAGTAACTCCCTTCATGGGGTTGTGTCTGACCTCTCTTGCTGCAAACACCTTATTTGATTCCCTTTCCACGGGAATTCCCTTTCTACACTGTCAGCACCACTGTGAGGCTTTTTTTGGGTCTCAGAACCTGTTTGCTGGGAGGTGGTCACAACTTTGTGCTGGGAAAATCCCAGTGAGGTGGCAGGGGGTCATGTGAGGCTGCAAAGCCTGCTCTTGCATTTCCCATTTTTCCCGAGGACCCTGGACATCACAAACTGCACTTCTGCTTGGGAAAAGCCTGGAGGAAGGGTGGGAGGTGTCTTTTGGGGAGGGGGAGGCACAAAGCAACCCATTCCTCTCAATGCCACGTTGCTGGCCGTGTCCCAGCATTCCTCGTGGTCCTTGGGAGCACACTCTGGCACATGAGGATATTTAGGGCTGGATAACAGGAGGGTTGTGGGATTTTTGGGGCCAGGTTCCAGAGCACTTCAGCACCTGCTCAAAACAGAGAGGGCAGCCAGGGGTGAACCTTTCTGGGAGCTGCCCGGGCTGGGCGTGATGGGGGAAGTTCTTGCTCTGGGCTCTCACCACCTCCCCATTGCCTGGAAACCTTTTCAATGCCTTTTTAAGGGAATTCCTAATTAGCAGGACTCACTCCTCCTGGCAGCACTGAGGTGGTGCCGCTGTGCTGACATCCCGAATAAAGCTGGAGCTTGAGCTGACATGTCCTGGATGAATCAGGGCTTTGGGACTCAGTGGTTTTACAAAACAAAAGTTGTGCTGTTCCCTGCAGCTCTTCCTTGGGCTCAGTGGGCGGGAAACACGGGCACTTGCCAAGTGGCAGAGGCCAGAGCTGGCAGGAGAATCACCAGCCCATGGAGCAGCTCACGGGAAAGTGCTGGCCAAGGCTGGGAGCATGGGGATGGGGAAGGATGAGGCATCACACGTGGACCTGGAGGGTGTAGCTGTGGCTGTGTTTGGTCACCTGAGCAGCACTGGTGAGGTTCTGGAAGGAGAAGATCTCAGGAGGACCATTTGCATCCTGCACATCTGTGGAAGAATAAAACAAGACGTTCTGGGACTGAGGTGTTTGTGTTCAGCCCCACCACTGCCCTGGAAGCAATTTTGATTCCCTGCCCTGTGTTGTCCCAAGCTGGGAGGGTGAAATGACAATCCTTGGCTGCTCCAGGGACCTGGGGTGGGAGACATGAGGAGTGTTGGTCCCCAGATTGGTGGAGAGTTCCATGGCTCCCTGCTCTCTCTTCCAGGAGAGGTGGTGAACACCCACGGCCCGGTGGAGCCGGACAAGGACAATATCCGTCAGGAGCCATACACCCTGCCCCAGGGCTTCACCTGGGATGCCCTGGACCTCGGGGACAGAGGTGTGGTGAGTACAGGCACATGTATGTTGGGAGGGCATCTCGATTGGCAGTGCCTTACTTGGACTGTTGGAGGTTGTTTTGGGGACGGAAACATGTCCCGCACCCCACCAGGAGACTCCAGCTTGGTGTTACACCACCTCCTTGGGGTTGAATGGGTCTGACTTCCCTTGCTGCAGTTCTCTCTCACCCATCCCATGTTGGCCTGGTTTCTCCATGGGGACAATAAGGATGCCTGAAGCCAGGAGTTTTCCCTTAGGAAAACCTTTCAGGCCCTGACCCACCTCCCTGGGAGGTGACCCAAGGGCACCAGGGTGTGTCCTGCTGCTCTCCCTGCTCTGCCCCAGGACCACAGTGCCTTTAGCAGGGACGTGGCTGTTGTGGCCACGCAGGAAGCATTCAGGGTCCCCTCTGGGGGCAGCTGGGGCAGGTGGTGGCTGAGTAACCTCCTTAACCTGCGTGTTCTGTGCTGCTGTAGCTGAAGGAGCTCTACACGCTGCTCAACGAGAACTACGTGGAGGACGACGACAACATGTTCCGGTTCGATTACTCCCCCGAGTTCCTGCTGTGGTGAGTGGCACCAGGAGTGTGGAGCAGAGGGGGTTGGATGCTGACAAGCCTCATCCCCGTGACAGCACTGCAGCTGCCTGTGCTTATCCCATCTCACTTCCTCCTGAGATGTCCCTTCCCCATCTGTCACCATGTGCGGTGTCCCAGGGACACTGCGAGGGGGGCTGTCACCCAGCCCTGCCTGCTTCCAGCTCCTCTGAGATATGGGAGCCTAAAACTGGACCTTTTTCCTCTTTGCTTTGATCCCTCAAGTGTTTGTGAACATCCCAGTAGCTGAGGAATTTCTCAGTGCCCTGGAGCTGTGGGAGGAGGGCAGCTGCCAAGTGATGCTGCCAGCAGTTACCTGTGGAGTCCTGTTGCAGCAGAGCTGTTTCCTTGGGAGTGTTCCTGAATCGAGGAATGTGGATTTCCTCCTGTGTCACTAGTGAGGACTGGCCTTGGCCTTGGAGTGCAGGAATTGCCATGGATCCCAGCACATCACTGTCACCCTCTCATCCTCCTGCCTGCGAGCAGGACACGGGCTGTCCCAGGGCAGGGGGGGAGGCAGGAGAAGGCACACTGGGGGCATGGGAGGTGACTGTGAGCTGTGTCTCTCCCCAGGGCACTGCGTCCTCCGGGCTGGCTGCCCCAGTGGCACTGTGGGGTCCGAGTTGTCTCCAGCAAGAAGCTGGTTGGATTTATCAGCGCCATTCCAGCCACAATCCACATCTATGACACGTGAGTGCTGCTCCCCTGCCTTTCTCATCCTGCCTCTTGCTGGCAAGTGGGGCTTCCTGGGAGCACTGAGGGGGTCTGGCTACATTGTCCTCCCCAGCCCACAGCAGACCTGCACCCTGCAGCCTTGCAGGAGAAGATGGGGGATATTTGAGGTGGTCAGGGCAGCTCTGCACAAGGACATCTCGAAAGTCAAGAGTTGTGAAGGCTTTTCCTTAAGGAGTGAGGTCAGCTCAGAGCTCTGGCTTACAGAATTCATCCAGGGCTGGATGGAGACATAGAATATCCTGAGTTGGAAGGGACCTCTGAGGATCATCCAGTCCAACTCCTGGCCCTGCACAGGACACCCCAACAATCCCATCTTGTCCCTGAGAGTGTTGTCCAAACACTCCCTGGCAGCCTTGGTGCTGTGCCCACTGCCCTGGGGAGCCTGGGCAGTGCCAACCACCCTCTGGGGGAAGAACCTTTTCCTGAGATCCAACCTAACCCTCCTCTGACACAGATTCAGACCATTTTTCCTGGGAAAACCGTGGGTAACAGCTCAAGGGCGAGCTCTCCAAACCCAGCCCTTGCCCCTTGGCCCTTCCCCGAGGCGTTGCCTCCTCACTCCCTTCAAGGGGCTGGAGGTAAATCACCCAGGGCGTTGGTGTGATCCTCCCAGGTCAGGACAGTCAGGTCTCATGCTCTGCATTGTTCCTTCCCCAAGAGAGAAGAAGATGGTGGAGATAAACTTCCTGTGTGTCCACAAAAAGCTGCGCTCCAAGCGGGTGGCTCCGGTGCTGATCCGCGAGATCACGCGGCGGGTGCATCTGGAGGGGATCTTCCAGGCTGTTTACACTGCGGGAGTGGTGCTGCCAAAGCCTGTGGGGACTTGCAGGTGAGTGCCTGTGGCTCTCCAAAGATTTCGCTCCGCACATCTCCCGTTCCCAAAGTCCCCTCTGTGACCAGTAGCGCCTGTGGGATTCCCCGGGACAGGAGAGAGTGATCCCAGCCCAGATTTCTCCTCCCCGCGCTGCCCTTCCAGGATTAAGTCCAGTGGCTTTGCTAAAGCTGCTCATGTAACACAGGAGAGGAGACTTTTGCAGCACAGGCACCTCAGGGGGAGCTGCTGGCCCGATGTTCTCACTTGCCCTCACGGCAGCTACGAGACCCTCGTGCCCCAGAACCATCTCCCACCGCCAGTGTGTTTCCGCAGGTACTGGCACCGCTCCCTGAATCCTCGGAAACTCATCGAGGTCAAATTTTCCCACCTGAGCAGGAACATGACTATGCAACGTACCACGAAGCTTTACCGGCTGCCCGAGGTGGGTTCCAGCCGGGAGCAGAGCTCAGGAATTGCCCCTGGCTGGGCCAGGCTGGGAGCTGGAGCACAAACATCCCGGCCGAGGTCGAGTCCTCTGCCTGGAGACCCGGGGTTTGCTCCGTGTGGTAAATGACTCTGTCAAGCAATTGTGCTTTATTTAATCTTTATGCATTTCTGCCTGGGTACCTGCATTTTGAGGGCAAATTCTTGGAGTTAGAGGACCCTGTGAGGTTTTGTTTGATGGTGAGTCATAGCCTGTCCTCCTGGTTAAAACAAGCAGGCAGATCTGACAGCCTTCATCTGTCCAAACACAGCCTCGGCGTGACCTTGGAGCGCGTTAGTCCCTCATTCTTCAGTCACACTGATCAGATCTGGCACTGCAGTTGTCCTGCTGGGGAAGTTCCCCAGCTGGATATGAGAGAAAAAAACAAACAAAGCATTAAAAGTGCCACCACCTTCCCCGACCTTGTTGGCTCCTTTCTGTCGGCCAGAGCTGCCCATTTGGGTTGGAAAGTGCTGTTTTAGTGCTGGGCAGCACAAGGCTCCCGGCTCCTGCCTCCTGCCACCACACAGGCACCAGCTGCTGGGGTGGAGCTGCTGGTTTCTGCACAGGAACTCAGCCCCAGAGCAGATCTGGGCTTGCTGAGCCATCCCAACCCTAGATTAGTAAGTGAGGCCAACTGGGAATAATATCAGGCAGTTTCTTGCAGAGCAAGGACACGTCTCCCAGCCTGTGCCTGCTGTGAGCAGGAGCAGAGACCTGGAGGGAAGCAGAGATCTGGTGTCATTAGTGGGTAGGAGGCCACTGCCAGTGGGACCTGACCTGGCACACGGGGCTCTGGGATGTGCTGTTCTCTCTGTGATCTTTGCCGTCGGTGTCACGGCCGATCACATCTGTCCTTTGCTGGGCACGCAGGGCTGAGCTGGGGGGCTGAAAACGGGCTGAGCTAAGCAGAGAACATCTCTGTGCTGCTTGCTGGAGAGCCCTTGGGTGGGAAAAACCACCGTGCAAGCAACAGAACGGTTTGTCCCACTTTCTGTAGACTCCCAAGACTCCCGGCCTGCGGCCCATGGAGCACAGGGACATCTCTGCCGTGCACAAGCTCTTGACCGAGTACCTGAAGCAGTTCCACCTGACGCCCGTGATGAGCAGAGAGGAGGTGGAGCACTGGTTCTTACCTCAGGAGAACATCATCGACACCTTTGTGGTGGAGGTGAGGGGCAGGACCAGGGTGATGGGGGTGTTTTCCTGGGTTTTGCCTCTGCTGGAGCTGTGAGAGCAGTGAGATGCCCTTCCAGGGTGGGCGTTTGCTGGAGGGTGGTGCCTCCATCCTGGGCTGCTCAGAGTCCCCTCCCACCCACTGGAAAAGCCCCTCTAAGGCTCTGTCTTGGCTTTATCCCAGCTCTGACATGTCACGGTGTCACTTCTGCCTTCCAGAGCGCCCCGGGGGAGGTGACAGACTTCCTGAGCTTCTACACTCTGCCCTCCACCATCATGAACCACCCGACTCACAAGAGCCTGAAAGCTGCTTATTCCTTCTACAACGTTCACACCAAGACGCCTCTTATCGACCTCATGAGTGACGCCCTCATCCTCGCCAAGTCGGTGAGGGACGGCAGGGACGGGGTGGCACCAGGGCACTGGGAGCTCACTGGGAAGCTCACTGGGCACTGGGAGCTCACTGGGCACTGAGAGCTCACTGGGCACTGGGAGCTCACTAGGAAGCTCACTGGGCACCAGCAGCTCACCAGGAAGCTCATGGCAGGCTGGACACCCTTGGTTTTGTGGGAAGGGCCAGCCACAGGGCTGTTCCTAAAATCCTAAAGGATCTGCCACTCAGGAGAGGGTTGCAGGGGTACTCTGAGCCTTCCAGCTCATGGTGAGCAGAGCTCAGGGTGTCTGCTCATGTCCTACAGCAAACAGTCCTGCTGTGTGTCCATGGCACTTGGATTGAGGGGGGGTACACTGAGGCTGAGCTCTTCCCTGCTGGCCTTGGGCCCTTTTTTTGGGATGCAGAGCTGGGCAGGAGAGGGGGACAGGCAGCTCACAGGCAGGAGGAGCTCTCCAGCATAAAAGCAGGAGCTCATGGCTTTGTGTCTTCCCTGAGCAGAAAGGATTCGACGTCTTCAATGCACTGGATCTCATGGAAAACAAAACCTTCCTGGAGAAGCTGAAGTTTGGGATCGGGGACGGGAACCTGCAGTATTACCTGTACAATTGGAAGTGTCCCAGCATGGCCCCAGAGAAGGTCAGTGCTCTGGGGTGGGGGGTTCTCCTCGTGTGTTGGAGGGGGTCTCGTCCCCACAGCCCCAGGGAGATGAGTTTGTTACACACCCCTCGGTGTTCCCAGGCTGGCTGGTGTCTGTCACATGTGGTGACAGGTGAATCCAGTGTCAGCTCCTCTGTGCTGTCCCTGCTGTGCCTGCACAAAGTGTGTCCCTGGGGAAAATCCCTGGACACTCATCTCTCCAGGCTCATTTTAGTCTTGGACTAGTGCAGGTCCACCTCCCACACACCTGCACGGGCAAGCCCTCCCCTCTGTGGGAGCAGGGCAGGCACAGAGGAGACAGGCAGAGGGCTGCAGGGGGACACATGGGACACCAGTGGTTGTGACAGTCACCTGGGAAGCAGTTGCTGTGCCCTGTGAGCCCTCACAGGACCCAGGAGTCACCACACAGCCCTGGATGTCACTGTCCTAGTGGGGTGGGAGGAACAACCACCCCTCTGGAGAGAGCAGGAGAACTTGAGAGGTGTTGGGTTGTTGTGAACAGGATCCCATGAGGATGAGCTGTGCCACCACGAGCCATGGAGTCACAGGGTGTCACCTTGTCCCCAGGGCCAGCAGCCACTCCCCACCCAGCTGCTCCCAGTGCTGGGCTGTGGGCACCCCTTCTGCCAGGCCTGGCTGTTCTTAGGCAGTACCTGGTTGCCACTGTCCCTCCACCCTGAAGATGTTCAGCATCTGTCCAGTCCACAGCCCCCTTGGAGAGGATGGTGCTTGAGAACCAGAATCTGCACAGCTACATCCCAGCTAATTAATGCCTTAACGGCTAATTAATGCCTTGATGGCAGTCACAGGGCTTTGCTTCCATGGTGTGAAGCCAAGTCTGTCTCTGGACACAAAACACACACCCTAAACCAGCCTCACTTGGCCACTGAGCCTTCCAGGAAACCCCAGGAGGTTCCCAGGAGGTGTCAGCAATCCCTTTTCTCACTGGAAGAGCTGATGGGTTGGAGAGCCTGGTGCTGGGAATGCTCCCAGGATGTGCCCTGTGGTGGGGCTGACCAGAGACCAGGACCACCCACCAGCAGTGGGACTTGTCCCAGGACTGGGCTCTGGGAAGCAGCTTCTCCCAGATCATAGAATCATGGAATGGTTTGGGTTGGAAGGGACCTTAAAGCCCATCCAGTTCCATCTCCTTGCCATAGGCAGGGACACCTTCCACTAGCCCAGGTTGCTCCAAGCCCCGTCCAACCTGGCCTTGGACACTTCCAGGGATGGGGCAGCCACAGCTTCTCTGGACACCCTGTGCCAGGGCCTCCCCACCCTCACAGCCAAGAATTTCTTCCCAATAGAATTCCTTCCCAATCTCCCATCTAACCCTGCCCTCTGGCAGTTTGAAGCCATTCCCCCTTGTCCTGTCCCTCCATCCCTTGTCCCAAGTCCCTCTCCAGCTCTCCTGGAGCCCCTTTAGGCCCTGGAAGGGGCTCTCAGGTCTCCCTGGAGCCTTCTCTTCTCCAGGTGAACCCCCCCAACTCTCCCAGCCTGGCTGCATGGCAGAGCTGTTCCCTCCCTCTAATCATGAGCTCAGGAACTTCCTTGGCTCGTGAGTCAAGTCTGTCTCACAGCCTGGCGGGGTTTGTGGTTTGTCACACCCCAAACATTGGTCACCTCCCCAGAGCTGGGCAAGTGCCCTTGTGCCCATTCAGCCACAAGCCCAGGGCTTTGCTGCTCTCAAATATCCCAAAACTGGTGAGGAAACCCACATGGACAACTCTAAGCCCTCCCAGCTGGCACAGTGAGGGGTTGGGAGCTGTGTCTGCCCGGAGCTGGGAACGCCGGTGCTCGGGCACATCCTGACTCCCCATTTCCATTGCTCCCAGGTCGGACTGGTGCTGCAGTAAGTGAGCCCTTGCCAGGAGAGCATGGAGGAGCCGGGCCTGGTGGAGGTGCTGCCCCTCATCCTTTCTGCCAAAGCTGGACCCACACCGGGTCAGGGGGAACCGGAGCAGCCGCCCACGGCTCCCGCCGCCACCCGCCGCCTCCTCGTCTGGTCTAATGTGCATCCTCGTAAAGACACGATCAAGGGAATGTAACTGCTGAAACTAGATCATGATTGGCATATAATGGAGTTAACGGGTGAATAATAAAAGTATATATTATATATATTTTAAATCTTTCCTGTTCCCAACTGCCATGAGTCGCATTCGGCCGCTGCACCGGGACTGTTCTCCGTGGGCACACCGAGGTGGAGGCTGCGGCGCCGGCGCGGTGGAGCTCCGGGATGTGGTGGCCAGTGGCCAGGTCCTCCTGCCTGCCCTGAGGGTGCTTTGGGCTCTCCCCTGCTTGGCTCTTTGCCCCCAGTTTGCTCCCTCCTCCGTTCAACTGGCTCCCTCCCTGCGGGCTCGGGAGCACGTCGGAATTCCTTCCTAAGGGCTATTTGTGGAAGCGATGCCTTGTCCCATCTCCTCCCAGACGTGGAGACTCCAACCCTGCAACGGGGCGAGCGCTGAACTGAGGGGCAGCAGCCCCCGAAGATCCAGGGGGACTCAGCTCTGGCACACCCTGCTCTGCTCAGACTCCTGGGGCTCCTTCCCTGTAACGCTGGGGCTGTGGGCACCAGGAGATGCTCCATCACCGCTGCCTCAGCTGCTTTTCTCTGGAAGCATGGAAATATGGATACATGCCACCAGCATCACCCCGGGCCTTCAGGCTCCCCAGCCACCCTGGTGCCTCCACCAGCTCCCAGCTCGTCATCTTGTGCTGTGGGATCTACCAAGATAAAGGAAAAGTTTTCTCTCATGGAAAACCTTCATCCCATCGAGATACTTTGGGAAAGGAGCGCCCGGACAGCCTCCTGCCGTGTCACGAACCGTGTCCGCCCAGCGCTCCGAGATGCTCCTGCCCTCCCAGCCAAAGGTTTCCAAAGCTGCACACCAAGGCCAAGACCCCCCGTCTATGCACTCCCACACCTCCCTGTCCCCGCGTGTCCCTGTCACACCCTGTGGCACCACGGACCCCCAGGGTCTCTGCCCACCCCAGCCTGGACCTGCGGGGCCCCAGTGGGGACCAGGAGCCCGTCACGTCCCCCCCCGGCAGCGCCATCACATCCCCCTGCTCGGGGTCCTGTGTCACCTATGCAAGTACCTCTGTGTCCCCTCCGGTGTCCCTGCTGTGCTGGGGGAGGCTGGGTGCGGGTGGGGGGCAGCCAGTGGGACCCTCCCCTTGCCCCCAGGGCGGGTTTGAGGGCTGTTCCCCCCGGCTTCCATGGGTGCAGGACCCGTGGGTGCTCGGCAGCTCCCTGGGGCAGTGCTGGTTTGGGGGTGGGCTCGGCCCTTATCCCCCCACAACGGGCCCTGGGGGGTGACAGGGACAGCGGGACAGGCTCTGTTAAAATAAAACCTTTATTGACTGGCTTGACCTCGGGGTATAAATGTGTGCCAGGGCAGGGGTGGGAGTGTGTCCCCAGCTGGGCACAGTGGGGCAGGTGGTGGCAGGGTCCTCTGGGGGACCTTGTGGTGATGGCACCGTCCTTGCAGCTGCCATCAAGCATGGCCAGGGCTGGTGACATTTGGGGGTTGCTGTCACCCCTGTGGGGTTTTTCTACGGCCTGATCACCCCATCCTGGCTGTCACAGGGACAGGGAGGGAAGGAGTAGGGAACCAGCAGATGAGGTGGCACTATGGGCACTACAGAGGGGTCCCCCAGCCCCTTGGGTGCTGTCACCACGGGCAGGTGAGCAGTGTCCCCGGGCTGTCCCCACGCAGGGAGCAGGAGGGTGCCCGCCCCACGGAGAAGCACGTTGCCCCCCACGGGGGGACACGACGCCCCCCGTCCCACGGGGACCTCCCAGGGACCTCCCGGGGACCTCCCAGGGACCTCACAGGCTCCTGCACTGGACGTGCACGAAGAGCGTGGCCGGGGACAGGGACGCGCCGTCCTTGGAGAGCAGGTGGATGTGCCGGTACCCTGGGGACACAGAGGGGGCTCAGCGCGGGGCAGGGGGACCGTCCCCACAGCCGGGGGGCAGCGGGGGTGGCCCCCCACCCACCCACCTGTGCGCAGGCTGGGCAGGGGCAGCGTGAACTGCCCCACGAAGTCGTTGCAGGAGGTGCTGTCGTAGTCCTCCACCACGAAGCGGAGCAGGGCCAGCTCGGGGACCCCCACCCGGAACCGCAGCGTCTCCTCCCAGCGCGGGTTGAACCCTGCGGCACCGGGACGGGGCTGGGAGGGGCCGCCGGGGCCACCCCCCGCCCCAGGGACCACCCAGACCCACCCCGGCCCCGGCTCGGCTGCCACCCTGCACGGGGCAGGGGGGAACTGGGGCAGCGGGGGTGATACTGGGGAAAAGGGGGTTATGCTGAAGCTAGACTGGGCTATACTGGGAGAATGGAGGTCATACTGGGGCTGTGGTGGGGCATACTGGGGAAAAGGGGTCATGCTGGGGCTGTGGGGAGGTATGCTGGGGGTTGGGGGTCATACTGGTGCTGGACTGGGCTATACTGGGAGAATGGGGGTCCTGCTGTGGCCATGGTGGGGTATACAGGGGAAATGGGTCATACTGGGGGAATGGGGATCGTATTGTGGCTGCAGTGGGATGTACTGGGGGAAAGGGGTCATACTGGTGCTGGACTGGGCTATACTGGGGGAATAGGGGTCATACTGATGCTGCAGTGAGATATACTGGGGGAATAGTGGTCATAGTGGGGGAAAGGGGTGCTGGACTGGGCCATACTGGGAGCAGAGTGGTCATACAGGGGCCACGGTGGACTGGAGGGATGGGATCATGCTGGAAGAATGGAGGTCCTACTGGGGCCAGGCTAGGCTATACTGGGGGAATGGGGATCATACTGGGGCTGTGATGGGCTATACTGGGGAGGATGGGCATCATACTGGGCTTGGGCTGGATGTACTGGAGGCCAGGAGGGAGCAGCACTGGTGAGGATGGGACACGCTGGGACCCTGCCAGTGCTGGGGATCAGGCTGTGCTGGGGACAGAGCACTGAGGGGCACTGGGGGAACTGGGACGTCCTGAGCACCAGTGCAGCTGGGGGTGGGTGCTGGGGGGGGGGGGGGGCCCGGGGGACTGTCCCCCCCTGGGGATAAGGGGGCACCTGGGATGTCTCTGGGGTTTGGGTGACCTGAGGTGTCCTGGGGATCAGGGGGCCCTAAGGACTGGGGACCCTGGGGTGCCCTGGGATGTCCCTGGGGGTCAGGGGAGCACCCCCCGAGATCAGGTGCCCTGGGGTGCCCTGGGATGGCCCCCAGACTGACCGTTGTTGAGCTTGTGCCGGGTCTGCTGCCGGGCACAGTCGGCTGGCACCCCGTGGACCTCCACGCGCACGAAGGGATCCACGATGGAGCTGCCCTTGTCCCTGTTCAGCTTGGGCAGCTGCTGCGCCGTGATCACCTGGGGACAGGGGGCTGGGGCACAAGGGGCACCAGGGGGGCCCAAGGGGGACAGGGCTGTGGGAACAGGGCTGGTGTCCCCGGGAGAGGGGATGTGGGTGGCACTTGGTTGGGACTGGGGACGGGGCGAAGAGAAGGGAGGTGGTTGATGCCACCCAGTAGGAAGGGCACCAGTGATACCAGCTGGATTTAGGGACAGAGTTGGTGCCACCCAGGAGAAGGGACAAAGGTGGCACATGGCTGGGTGCAGGAACAGAATCGGTACCACCCAGGAAAAGGGACATGGGTGGCACATATCTGAGTACAGGGACAGGGTTGATGCCCCCAGGAGAAGGGACATGGGTGGTACCCAAACAGATGTGAGGACAGGGTCAGTGTCCCCAGGGGAAGAGAGGTTGGTGGCACCCAAGGACAAGGTGTGCAGGTGGCACCTGGCTGGCCACGGGGTTGGCATCACCCTGAGGGGACATGGGGGTGGCAGCTGCCTGGACATGGGGTTGGTGTCACCCAGAAGAGACGTGGGTGGCACCTGGTTGGGAGCAGAGTTGGTGTCACCGGGAGCAGCGGCCAGGCATTGGAATGTCATGGGAGTCACCCAGCAGGGCCACGGGTGGCACCCACCCAGGGGTCGTGGGGTGCCCTCACCCTGATGAGCAGCTCCAGGCGCCGGGACCCCTCCCCGGGGGGGCTGCGCAGGCAGGGGGGCTTCAGGACGTACCCACAGCCCCCGTTGCCCAGGAAGCGCCCGGTGTTCAGGTCCATCTCATATCCTGGAGTCTGGAAGTTGAGGGCCACTGTGGGGACAGCGGGAGGGGTGTCAGGGCAGGTGACAGCTCTGGGGGGGGGGTGCCAGGTGCCCCGGGGGGCTGGGGGGTCTCACCCAGCTGGCAGCCAGCGTTCCACATCTCCTGGGGGTTGTAGTTGGCCGAGTTCATCTTCAGCCCCAGCGGGTACACCCGGCTCAGCTGCCGGGCATTGTACCGGACCAGTGCTGGGCCTGGGGAGGGACAGGGCTGAGCGGGGCCCACGGGGGCTGGTGTGGGGCCCCCTGTGTGCCCGGGGACAGGGACAGAGCCTGCTTGGTTGCACGGACCCCAAAACCAGGCCCTGCGGTTCAGCTCCCAACCCTGGACCTTGAACTTGGAGCCCAGACCCTGATCCCAGTTCTCAGACCCTGGGTGCTGACCTAGAGCTTAAACTGAGCCCAGGATCCCAGACCTTGACCCCACAGCTTGGCTTTAGACCCCACACCCTGACCCTGGACCTTAACCCTGACCCCACACCCTGATCCATCAGACTCCAAACTAAAACCCTGGACACTGACCCACATCCTAATCCCAACCCTAGACCCCAGACCCTGACCCTGACCCCGGACATTGACCCTGGACCCCAGATCTTGAACACTGACTCAGATCTTAATCTCAGCCCTGGACCCCAGACCCTGACCTTGGATCTCAACCCTGGACCCTGACCTCCAATCCCAGACTTTGACCCCCAACCTCGGTCCCTGGACTGTGACCCAGATCCTAATCCCAGCCCCAGATCTCACCCTGGACCCAGATGCCACATCCTAAAACCCTGATCCCAGACCCTGATCCTAGTGCTGCAACCCTCTGGCCCCAGACTCTGCCAGCAGACCCCAGTCCCACCAGTCCAGAGCAGCCCAACCAAGGTCAGCATGTCCCTGATCACCACCCCTGGAGCCACCCTGGTGACAGAGCCCATCCTGCATCCCAGTGACATTGGGGGCGTGGAGCCACTCTGTCCCCTTCCCTGTCCCCATCCCTGTCCCCATCCCATCACCCTCACCCGCCTCCTTGATGAGCTTCCGTGCCTTCCTCTCGCTGAAGGAGGACATGTGGCAGGGCTGGGGGTGGCGCAGGGCCTGGGCCAGCCCGGGGAAGGGCACAGCCTGGCAATAAACCACCAGGGCCGACAGCTCCGGGGACACCTGCAGCGCGTCCTTGGCCTGCGGGAGCCACCGCGGGGTCAGGGCCACCCTGGTTCTGGGGGACACCTCCCTGCCCGAGGGTCTGCAGACCCCCCCACCCTGCTAGTGGTGAGTGCTGAGAGCCCCAAGGCCTGAGAGCCCCCAAAGGGATGGAGAACCTGAGGCAATGGAGACCCCGAGGTGATGGAGAACCTCGGGCAATGGAATGATGGGGCCATGGGCTGATGGACAAAGCAAGCATGTTGAGAACCTGAGGTCATGGAGAGCACAAGGGGATGGACAACCCAAGATGTCAGAGACCCCAAGGTGATGGAGACCCCGAAGCAATGGGCACCCCGAGATGATGGAGAACTTGAGGTGACAGAGAGCCCTGAGGTGATGGAGAACTGAGGCAATGGAGACCCCCCCTCCAAGGTGATGGAGACCCCGAGGGATCACCCTGCAGGTGATGGAGACCCCAAAGTGAGGGACAACCCAACATGATGGAGAACTTGAGGTGATGGAGAGCCCGAAGTGTCAGAAACCCCAGAAATGGAACACCCAACCCAATGGGAAGAGGGAGGCAGAGCTGAGGGGTCTCCAGTATCAGTCCCCTCTGCTGGGCCACTCACCACCCCCACGGCACCCAACCCATCGCCCCCCAGCTCCATCCCACAACCCACCTGCAGAGGTTTGATCTCCTGCAGCGACTGGAAGAGGAGAGAGCGGGGCTGCAGTGGGGTGTGCTGGCTGTGCTCACCCACCCCGGGGCCCAGCACTGCTGGCACACTCCAGGATGCCATGGTCCTCCAGGACCACCAGGACTCCTTGGCCCCCCAGCACCACTGCAATGCTGTGATCCATCAGGACCACCAAGACTCCAAGATCCTCCAGCACCACCATGATGTCGTGGTACCCCAGCACCAGAGCCCTGGGAGAGCCCCTTACCCGCCGGTTGCTTCTGTTCTGCATCTTCTCCTCCTCTTCCTCTTCCTCCTCTTCTTCCTCCTCTGGGTCCAGAAGGGAGGTGACTCCCCGGGGCTCCTGCCACAGCTCTGGTAGCTTCTTACCCTTCACCAGG